ACACACACACACACACACACACACACACACACACATACACACACATACACACACAAATAGAGGGACTCCCGTGGTCTCTTGGTTTCGGTGTTCGCCTCTCATTCAATAGGTCTCGGGTTCGATACCTGACAGCGACGGGAAATTTTCTTCTCAAAAATTGTTCCCCTTTCATCTCTTTTCTTGCTCTCTAACCATGTTCTGTCGTCTGCTTTCGTCTCCGCCCCCGGCCCCCAACCCCCTTGTCCCCTCCTCTGGGCTGGTGACTCTTATAGTGCCTTTCTACTGCTACTCCTTGGCTCCTTCTTCCTGTTGTCTTTCAGCCACACCCCTGATCTTGGGATAGGTAAGATCTAACACCGAGCCTTCTCGTAGATGAGCTAAAAAAAAAATCTCTGGGGTCCCGTGTGCAAGTTTTGCAAGTTAAAGATCCCTTGGTGGTCCAAAATTGATAAGAGTAGGCTTCGACCGCTACCCGGACAAAATTCGAAACCGACCCATTCATCCGAAGTTCAAGACCATCTCATAGAACCAGGAGCATTCGCACAAATAAAAATACCAACACGCCCCTTTAATTTTTAATGTGAGCCATCTCCAAATTGCAATTTGTTTGTTTGTTTTAAAAAGAAACGTATTGGCTCAATGGTAGACATGATTACATAGACAATCGATAGACACGCAGACAGACAGACAGACAGACAGACAGAGAGACAGACAGACAGACAGACAGACAGACAGACAATAGTGTGAATCAAATATTATTTTGTTTGATTGCTATTGGAAATTACTTGGGGGGGGGGGATAGATCGCTAGGAGAAGAGGGGACGGGGAAAGGGTTGGGGGTCTGGGTGGAGGGGGCACAAGAAAGAAAGAATAGAAATTACAGTAGAAGGCCTATATAGAAAAGAGAAACTTTATTTTTTTAAAGGTAAAAAATAAACAAAAAAACGAAGGCTGTCGTCTAGGTTAAAAAAAAATTTTAAAAAATCTTGAGCGTCGCCATCCACACACGAGCGAGTCATCTACAGCTGCTGATGTACGTCGCTGACGCACTAAAAAGGGTGTGGCTCTGTGTGCGCATGTCAGGAGCGTAGTGGGCAATCCGATTGTGTTATCGACACTCACAAAAACAATCACATTTCTGTCCGTTTTTGATTGGTGGGTGCCACACTAACTGAGGCGATGGGAAAATGTGTAAAGGTTGATGCTATTTCTTCCTTGTCACTTCTTTCCTTTGTTTCCATTTCCTGGGACATTATGCTGAGGGGGG